CTGGGTTCCGTCTAAATTCTATGCAGAGCCTGGGGTCAGCTAGGGACTAATCCTGGGCTCCACGTAGCATTTCCTCAGAACCCAGGGTCAGCTGGGGACTCCCCAGCTGATCCCGGGCTCTGCTCGGTTTTTCAAAGCGGCAGCACTGCACAATGTATCCTGGGTACAGGCTCCATGCAGCACTGCTGCTTTGAAGTACCCTTTCCCCCGCCCCTCCTTTGCTGCCTCTATCTGACATTTGCTTATCGGATAGTTAACTAGTCCTTAACATCTTTACCAGGTAGTGGGGCTTTTACTGATTGGTCCCTTTATATTTTTGAAGGGTGACTAAATGTTAACTCGATCTTGTTGGGTAATAGCAACAGATTGGTTTGGGCCCAATCCTAGCTTAAAATGAAATTGGATTGGGCCATTTTTAAGAAGGTTGGGAAGTGGTCTTATTTGGTAATTAGTAGTTTTAAGTTTTATTTACATAACATAGGCATTGCCGTGATGGAATTCACATGTGCATTTCTCATATAAAATAGCCCAGCCCCATTGATATCTATGGGAAATGTACTTTTCAAGATGTGGTGATGAGGGTTAGTGACATGGTCTTCTTCACCTGTAATTGTCATAGTTAGTTCAGTATTGTCACTCTGGCTTGTGGAAATGGAGAACACTTGATAGTTTTGCAGTAACGTCAAAAAATGCAGTTGCAGTCCATTCATTAGGGATGTAAATTTTCCCTAATTTATTGCCACTGGCTCCCAACCCCCTTCACACCCTACAGAGAGAGGCTGATCTTGACACTGGAGCAGTCCCTGCCTGCAGGGTCCCAGGCCCCCCCCCACACAGACTGCTCCAGACGAGCAACCCCTGCGTGCAGCAGGCCCTCCGTGAGGCTGAAGTAGCCCCCTGCCCACAGCAGATGAGCTGCTGCTTCTGCCCCTTCTGATTACCAGTTATTAGAACCAGTAAGCATCTGTTAAGAGGACTAAGGAAGTTATCCAGTGAAATTATGGGATAGTTCTGGATGACTCCCAGGGTCTGAATCAAAGGGGGCTGCATCTACACTGCAAAGTATTAGGACTGTGAATCTCATCTTGAATCAAGGTTAGACACCTAGTTGCTGCAGTGTCCTGAGACCCTAGGTTTGGGGCCTTGGTTAATGCAATTGCCGTATAGTTGCATGGGGGTCTCCTACAGTGCCCAAATCCATCCCTATTGGTAGAGGACGGTGGGAGAAGTTCTTAGAGGGGGTCACCTGACAGCCTGTACTTCCAGTCCTGTGTCCATCTTGACCCTGGAAGTACTACCCCCCAGGTGTGGGATTTACTGTATCATGTGAGCAGGATGTAAGAGGGCAGGGGCGTGGCTAGCAGTATTGGGGGCGTGGCTAATGTGTTCCTATTTTTGTGTCTGAAATATGGTCACCGTATGGTCCCACCAGTACCAGAGACAGCATGAATCTGAACTACTCAGTCCCAACTCCTGCAGTCCCAGGAGCTAAGCCTCTTATCAACTAATCGAATAGTCAATGGTAATTCCATTGAGTTAGCTTACCAACTGCAATTTAACATCCCTAACCTTTAAAAGCACAGTGAGGAAGCTGCCTTGTACTCCCTCCCTGGTACATTTTGCCCTGAGAGAGGAAATAAAACTCCTTCTCTGGCCCCACCTCTGCTTTGCATCCTTGGCAGGTGGTTCACCCCTGGGTAACTGTTACCCCTTTGTCCCTTCCTGTGTAGGAACAAAACCCCCACACGGGGGCTGGCAGTGTCTCCAACTGAACCAAACCCCAGCTCCTCCCCCACCCTGCATAGCGCCTGGCAGTGTCTCCCCCCTTAGCCAAACCCCAGCTCCTGCTCCTTGCCCCTGCACAGGGAGTGGAAGTGTCTCTCCCTCAGTCAGACTCCAGCTCTTCCCCTCCATCCCTGGATCAGGATCTGGTGGCTTCTCCCTCCCGAGGTGAACCCCAGCTCCTGACTCACCCACCTAATTTTTTTCCCCTTCCAGTCCCTCTTCTGCCTTACCCTAAAGTTATTTGACCCCCATCCTGGTCAGATAATTTCTGCCCCCTGCTCACTTTGCCCATCCCACCACTGTAATGTGCCCCTGAACCTTTTTTTAATGCTTGTAAAGCTAGAAGTGGCCTCTGAATCCAAGAGTGTACAGCAGCTCTTACTGAGCATGCTCAGTACACCCTAAGTAGTGCATTCTGACAAGCAGCTGCTTCTGTCGCTATAGTTTGCAAGACACAACACTAGAATCTCACCTAGTACATGCTATTTCTGACTCATAAGAGCCAGAACTCTACCACACAGCATAGATCTGGCCTTAATGCAACACAGTTATCCATTTATTAATTAGTAACATGGGATTTAAAAAAATCATTACGGTCAGAGTTTTAGATATTGGCAACACTCCAAAAAATTCTGTTAAAAGAATCTTTTTCTTTCTACCGTAAGCCATTAACACAAGGGTGGGCAGTCATTTTTAATGGGGGGGCCACTCCAAGAATTTGATAAGTGGTTGAAGGCCACACTCTTCTGTGCTATTTCTGGAGGAGGTGTGGGGGTCTGGGATGGAAGTTGGTTGCAGAAGGGAGCTTGGAGTAAGGGATTGGGGTGAGGGATCTGGGAAGGAGTGTGAGTGAAGTAGGGGACCGTGACCTGGGGCAGGAGAGCAGGAGTGGTGCAGAGATCTGGGCTGTGACTAGGAACAGAGGTGGTTTGTACCCCTCCCCCCCAATGCTTTATGAAATAGACCTATGGACATGAATGTATAGAACTCAAAGATGCTTTGAGCAAATTATTTCATGTAACCCGTCAATCTTCATGTCATGATCCACTGGTTTTGTTTGTCTTATTTTGGGGGGTATGTGTCTCTCTTGTGTGTGAAATTGGACATGTGGAGTGGGGAATACTTCATGTTTTTTGAAATGTGTAAATGGAAAGCCATCAAGTGGGGCCTCAGAGTCTGGACAATCATATGCAAATACCTTTTCTCCTTAAGGCTCAGCAGTGGTTGGTGAGGAGCAGCCAGGTGACTCCCCATGCCATAAGGCAGGGGTCTCCAATCTTTTTAAGCACAAAATCGCTTTTTGAATGTAAATGCAATCCAGGATCTACCTCAAACCCAGACACCCTTGTCCTGCCTTCTTTGTGCCCCTTCTCTGAGACCCTGCCCCTGCTCACTCTGTCCTCCTTCCCTCCCCCATTCTCAGTCACTTTCACCAGCCTGGAGCAGAGGGTTGAGTTGCAGGCTCTGGTCTTGAGTTAAGGGATTTGAAGTGTGAGAGAGGCCCTGAGCTGAGCTTGGGGCAAGCAGTTGGGTTGCAAGAGGGGGTTCTTGGTGCAGGCTCTGTGAGAGCGTTTGAATGAAGGAGTGCTCCAGCTGGGCACTGCTTATCTCTGCTCCTGGGTGGTGGTGCAATAGGGATAAAGCAGGTTCACTCCTGTCCTGACCTTGCACCCTCCCAAAAGCAGCCAGCAAACTCTCCCCTGCCCAAGTCTTGATGTGCCCTCTCTCTGCTTGTGGAGACAGAATACAAAGCAGGAGAAGGGAGCACCTTGGCCTCAGCACCCCTCTTCTCCCTCCCATGCCCCGCACAGAAAGCAGGAGGCTCCTTAGGGGCCAGCTCCAAGGCAAATGGCAGCAGATGCACAGCAGTGGGGAGAAGGGACAGCTGAAGTGCCAGCACTTGATAGCCTCCTGGCCAAACCAGTCAGGATCCCTTGTCAGAGGCTCTAAGATCTACTAGTAGATCCTGATCTACTGGTTGGTGACCTCTGCTCTATAGGGACATCATGCAGGAGAGCTAGAACATAACGGCCATACTGGGTCAGACCAAAGATCCATCCAGCCTAGTATTCTGTCTGCCAACAGTGGCCAATGCCAGGTGCCCCAGAGGGAGTGAATCAAGCAATCTCTCTCCTGCCATCCATCTCCATCCTCTGACAAACAAAGTCTAGGGACACCATTCCTTACCCATCTTTATTAATAGCCATTAATGGACTTAACCTCCATGAATTTATCTAGTTCTCTTTTAAACCCTGTTATAGTCCTAGCCTTCATATGAGACTATGAGACTGTGGCATCGCTGGGTAAGGATTCCTGTGCCCTCAGCTAGCAAAGCCCTGGGGCCGGCATTTCTGCATTGGGTCAGGTTCTTCCTTGGTCAGTTCAATGAGAGGGGAGTGGGGCCCACAGCCCCCATGTGAGAGACACTTTTTAACTGCATGCTCTCTTTTGGGGAGCAGGGGAGTCAGACATATAAGGGAGAATGGTAATTCATCCCCAGCTTTCAGGAGCCAGAAGCAGGGAACTGTTCTGACGACATTATTTCTCCTTCACACACTGTTCACCTGTCTTGGGACTGGCTCTAGCCGTGAGAAGGGCTCCAGCTTCCTCAGACTTGGAAATAGCCCAGAGTTTAACCCCAGAGCTGTGTGTGCGTCAGCAAGTCTCTCAGAGCCCACAGATCATTAAAACTCCCAGTGAGGGCATGACAACACGCTCTATCACCAAAGGGTGGGGCGTCATTGGGCCCTGCATCCCCATCTGCAGCCAGGCATGACTCTCAGCCAGCAGGTAGAACAAAAGGTTTATTAATTCACAGGAACACAGCATCAAACAGACTTGTTAGCACAGTGACCAGGAGCAATCAGCACAATCCATCTTGGGGAGAAGAGAGCGCAGAGCCAAGGGCCCTGCCCCCCATCTCTGCCCCCCACAGAGACCCAGAGGAGCCAGCCACAGCCCCACTAATCGCAATGAAGGAGGCCAGAGGAACAGAAACCCACCCTGACCCTGCTCAGAAAGGCCTCATTCTGTGTGTTTCCTGCCCCCAAGCCAGAGGGTATGTCTGCATTGCATTCCTCCTTCGAGAGAGGAATGCAAATGCAGACAAACAAAATTGCAAATGAAGCTCAGATTTGAGTTTCCCGTGCTTCATTTGCATAATGGTGGCTGGCCACTTTTCTGAAATAGCGTATTTTGAGAAAAAAATTGGGTTATTTAAAAAAGAAACCCTTCCTTAGAAATAATCCTTAAAAAATGAAGGAGGAATGCAATGTAGACGTACCCAGAAATACTCACTTCCACCCTGCACAGCTCGTCCCTGGCTGCAGCCAGCCCCATCTCAAGCATTTGTCCAGCTTCCTGGGCAAAAGCTGTCACCTGGTCACACACCCTTCCCAGACTCGGATTGCCATGAGCCTGGGCGATTGTGAACCTGCTGGCCTGGGCATCCTCAGGAATTTGGGTGAGTCACCTGCAAATTTTCATCCCCATCTAGATAGTGGTGTAGTACCGAGAGAAACTGAGGCACACAAAGGGGTTATGACGGCAATAGAAATTGCATGCAACATCAAAAAGTGAACAGAATGAATACAATCCAGACTGTCTCATCCCCCACTATATTCTGCCCCAGAAGTCTGCTGCTCTTAAGATGTCCTCTGTTGGATTAATTGAGTTCAGGGAATGTTCCTTGTGACACATACTTTTCCCAGACTCAATGGGCCTTCACCTTGCCTGATCTCAACCCTTGCAGGACTCCCCATTCCCAGACTTGACCTGATTGCCCGGCTGGAACGAGGGGAAGAGCCTTGGGTCCCAGATCTCCAGCCTGCCAAAGAAATGGAAGTCCTGAAAGGCACCCGCATAGGTGAAGAGTCAGGGAAACTGACACACAAACCTTCTGGTGAGTGCAGGAGAAAGCTGGGACTCTCAAAAATGAGCTGTGAGTGAGTGCCCTCACTTCCGCCCCCATATTCCACTCCCAGTTAGGGCTGCAGGTTTTATCCTGGCAAATACCTGTCACAACTCCCCAGCCACCCTGTTAGCTATCAGGAGTTTCCTCTCTCTGTTTCCTTTCTGGGAGTATTTGGGTGGGATGTGGAGGCAGAATCCAATGTCTCAGTCTCCTGAACTATGATTGTGTTGTGCTTTCTGTCTTTGCCATTCTCTCTCTTCCAGAAGGTGCTAGGACAGTGGGGGAGAACAATGAGGAAAATCTACAGCAGGAAGGTTCTGGAACCATAGTATCACAGGGAACATTTTTGGAAGGAGCTGAAGGGGATTTTCCCCAGTGTGTAGAACAGGGGGAAGCCTGGGAAAATCAACACAAGGCAGAGAAGAAGCTGGAGAACAATTCAAGCAGGAAAGCAGAGGAATCCATTGAATGTAGGGGAGGATCCCAGGATCCCAAGGAAACTTCAGCCCAGCAGTCAATTTGCAATGAAAAGAAACCCTGTGAATGCTCAGACTGTGAGAAAAGATTGAGTGAGAAATCAGGCCGTATTCTGCCACAGAGAGGGCACACAGAAGAAAGGCTGTGCAAGTGCCTGGAGTGTGGAAAAAGTTTGATTGAACTGTCATCCTGTATTGAACATGAGATTATCCATCAAGGAGAGAAATCCCATAATTGCCTTGAGCGTGGGAAAAGCTTCACTTTGAGATCACACCTTAGTAGACATCAGCAAACCCACACCAGAAAGAGGCCATATAGATGTTTGGAATGTAGGAAAAGCTTCAGTCAGAGTTCACACCTTATTATCCATCAGGGAGTGCACATAGGAGAGAGACCATATAAATGCCATGAATGTGGGAAAGTTTTCATTATGCGTTCAGCTTTTACTGTCCGTGAGAGAGCCCACACAGGAGAGAGACCATATAAATGCCATGAGTGTGGGAAAGGTTTCACTCAGCAATCAGCCCTTACTGTCCATGAGAGAACCCACACTGGAGAAAGACCATATAAATGCCATGAATGTGGGAAAGATTTTACTATGCGTTCGGCCCTTACTGTCCATGAGAGAGCCCACACAGGAGAGAGACCATATAAATGTCATGAATGTGGGAAAGGTTTCATTCAGCAATCAGCCCTTACTGTCCATGAGAGAGCCCACACTGGAGAGAGGCCATATAAATGTCATGAGTGTGGGAGAGGTTTCATTCAGCAATCAGCCCTTACTGTCCATGAGAGAGCCCACACAGGAGAGAGACCATATAAATGCCATGAATGTGGGAAAGGTTTCACTCAGCGATCAGCGCTCACTAGTCATGAGAGAACCCACACTGGAGAGAGACCATACAAATGCCACGAGTGTGGGAAAGACTTTACTATGCGTTCAGCCCTTACTCTCCATGAGAGAGCCCACACAGGAGAGAGACCATATAAATGCCATGAATGTGGGAAAAGTTTCACTCGACTACCAGACCTTACTGTCCATGAGAGAACCCACACTGGAGAGAGACCATATAAATGCCCTGAGTGTGGGAAAAGTTTCAGTCGTCGATCAGCCCTTACTCTCCATGAGAGAACCCACACAGGAGAGAGACCATATAAGTGCTTTGACTGTGGGAAAAGCTTTGATCGCACCTCATATCTTACTAGGCATCAGAGAATCCACATGTCTCCTGCATCAGCAAATCCCTCAGGGAAGACCCTAGGGATGTTAAATATCAGTTAATTGACTAGTTGAGTAACCTCATGAATTTTTATTGCTTAGTTGATTATTTTATATCCCTGGGCGTGGGGCTGGCAGTCAGTTTGACTCACTCCCAAGGAGCCCCCTTCCAGTCTGTGCTGCTGCCTCTGTATCAGAGGCAGCAGTATAAGGTGCCAGGCATTAAAAGGTTTAAAAACCGGCTCCCCTCGTGGCCTAGCAGCCTGTCACCCAGTGCTGTTGCCTCTGTAGTCTAAATGTAGCCTATCAATGTTTTATTAGAAAAAGTACATAAATTGCACTCTGCAATTTGCATACCTTTTCCCAGGAGTTTTGTCAGAAGAGGCTTTTCCAAAATTTAGCTCTTCTATATTGGGCCAAATTTTGGAAAAACCTCCTCTTTTGGGAGAGCCCTTCCTTGTGGAAGGAGAAAGACAGGGCTTCCAAAAGAGCGCATCTGCTCTTCCAACAAAAACGTCTGACAAAAATGTCAGAAGAGCAGATGCATTCCCTAGATGCGGCAGAATTTTTCTGGGATACATCCAGTATCCCAGAAAAACTCCGGAGTCTACATCAGTGTTTCTCAATCTTTTAAAAATTTTTTTTAATAAAGTTCCCCTTTAAAAAAAAAGTACTGCCTTTTTTTTTAAATAAGTATAAATACCTGGAGTACCGATAGTTTGCAGACACACACAATATTTTTCTACCATTGCATCACATTTATTTAAACAACTTCATAGCTGGGTGGGCAATGAAATGTTTGGGTATAAAAAGTACAAAAATAATAAAGTGCTGTATAACTTAAAACAAAATTCAGTTTTCTCCAAATTTCAGTTGTGTTGACATACCCCCCAGATATCTCTCAAGTACCCTTGAGGGTACTCATACCACTGGTTGAGAAACAGTGGTCTAGATGTAGCCATAAAGAGGCAGCATTACAGGGTGACAGTAGCCCTTGTCTGGGGTGGGTCTGAGTTTGCAGACCTGACGCAGGCTGAAACTGAGCTGGACTGTCTTCCTGCGTAGCTCCTAATATATTTTAAATGCAAAACTGTAGCAGTGGTTAGTCCTGGACCCATTGCAAGCCAGGACTGAGCCAGGTTGCTGTCCAGCCTGCTAAAAAAATTACTGGTGGGACGGGAGAGAGAAATGCATGTAGTTTAGAGTATTAACCTATAAGCTTTGCTTATTGGTTAATTGACTGTGCTATTACATCTCTAGAGAAAACCGCTCAGATTTCATTAGCTGGTGTGTAAAACACTTCTGTTAGAGCCCGGGCACCAGAGATTGCTCCAAACACAAGGGAAATGCTTTCCATGGCCTACCTGATTTCCATACACAGATGAATGGCATTCAGCTTCCAGGAATGCATCTGCCCAGCTCTCAGGTAAGGGGCTTGCAGCACCCAACATTGAACTGGTCCCACTGGCTCTGCATGGTCTGTGTAACCCCAGTCACTCCTTCTGCTGGCGTCTGAGCCGACGGGTCACAAGGGAGAGAAGGAAGAGACTGCTCAAGATGATCCCTGTGCCTGCCTCAGGTTCCCCCCTCCCTTCCCATCCAAGCTGGGATCCACCTGCCATGGACATTGGAGGGATGTCTACACTGCGCAGTAATTTTGGAGTAAGCTATTCTGGAAGAGATTTTTCCAGAATAGCTTATTTTGAAATAGCATGTCTACACACAAAATGCACATTGAAATAGTGCTTTGCTATTTCAAAATAGAGTGTCCATACTGATTGGATGCTGAATTGCATTTAAGGCCACTCAGAACCAGTTTAGGCAGGATATCAGGTCAGTAGTTACTTTGTGTGGCTGCTTCTTGAGATTATCTGAGGTTGGTGCTTAAAGGGACACTCCAGGACAGCCATTTCTCAGGTTTGCTTGCTTGCTTGCCTACCTCTCTGAAGGACCTGAAAGCATTTTCTCTATGTGCTCAGGTTGCCCTGCTTTTGGACAACACAGCACTCTTTGTTATGGGGCCGGAGTTGCCCCTGGACAGTCTTCAGCTCTTGTAGCTTTTGCTGCAAGTTATGCAGCACTTTCTGCATGAAGCCTCCCAGGCTCTGCAGAAACTTGACCCCCAGCCCTTGTGGGAAATCCTCTTAGGAACTGTGCAGGCACAGCTCCTGCATCTGCATCCCGCCTGCTCTCCCCTGGACACTGTGCCCTGACACATCTGGCATCTGGACACCAGTGCAGACTGGTGGGACCACATTGTTTTGGAGCACTCGGGAGAAGAGCAATGGCTCCAGAACATTAGAAGGAAGAAGGACACCTTCCTGATGCTCTATGAGTGGCTCAACCCTGTCCTGAGGTAATGGGACATGTACATGAAGCCTGCAATCCCCATCCAGAAGTGTGTTGCCATCCACCTATGGAAGCTCTCCACGCCGGACAGCAACTAATCCATAGGGAGGCAGTTTGGCATGAGAAGATTGATCATCAGGGCCCTGGGCATGCAGGTATGGCATTCTTGGGCTATTGTCCCAGGAGGGGGATTGAAGGAATTAATGGGCTTCCCTGGGAAATGGGTTTGATAGTGGGGGGTAGCAAGCCCCCTCCTCAGGAGGTTTTGTTCAGTCCCACCCTCACAAAGCCCTGCCAGAGGTTGGGTTGATTTGAGGGTGTTGCTTCTGGTCGGGGGAGGGTCATAGGGGGGAGACTAGGAGGAGGGGCTAGGGAAACTTTCAGGCACCCTGGCACCCCTGTGATTCTGTCTCATGCAGGTTGTCAGAGCAATCAACACCATCTTGCTGCGCAGTCATCCGCCTTGCAGATGTGGATGCCATCATTATTGGATCTGCTGACATGGGATTCCTCAATTGCAGGGGAGGGAGGGGCTATCAACAGGACCCACATCCCCATCCATGCCCCAGATCACCAGGCATCTCTGTACATCAACCGAAAGGGATATTTTTCAGTGGTCCTGCAGGCTGTGATGGATCACCAGGGACAGTTCACCGACATCTATATCGGGTGGCTGGGGAACGCGCACAGCACATGTCTGTTTAGAAACTGTAGCATGTTCCATAAGCTGCATGCCGGAACTTTTTTCTCCAACTGCACCATCAGGGTCGGGGATGTGGACGAACCCGTCTGCTTGGTCAGCAGTGTGACCTATCCTCTGCAGCCTTGGCTCATGAAGCCCTACACCAGCCACCTCAACCCTGCCAGAGAACTTTATAAAGCCAAGTTGAGAAGGGCCCGCATGCTTGTGAAGGGTGCCTTTGGCCTTTTGAAGGTGCACTTCAGATGCCTCCTTACCTGTCTGGACCTCGGGGAGCATAGCATTTCACATGTGGTGACTGTGTATTGTTTGAGAGATAGAGGGAGACATTCCTGACAGGGTGCAAAGCGGAGGCTGACCGCATAGGCAGGGAGTATGGGCAATCATGCATGGCTGCCATTTGGCAGGCCTTTTGGGGCCGTGCGCATCCAGGAGACACTCAGGAAGAGCTTCTCCCTGGAGGACAAGTGACACTCTCCCTTGGGCTACCCCAACTGGGGGCTTCTCCTTCACCCCCTCACTGTCATCCCTCTACTAACCACTCCCTTCCTTCCCTTCTTAATGAAAAAATAAAGGACACATTTGTTTTTGAACAACTAAAACCTTTGTTTTGAATGTGGGGCCAAAGAAGCTGGGGAAAGAACCTAGGAGAGAAGGTGTAAGAATGGGGGTAGTGAGAACCCGATGCGCAGCAAGAAAAGCAATTATGGTAGGCGACCAGATTGGCTTACTGGAGACATCCTTGGTGAGCTTAAACACAAAAAGGAAGCTTACAAGAGGTGGAAACTTGGACAGATGACTAGAGAAGAGTATAAATATATTACTCAAGAATGCAGGGGAGTTATGAGGAAGGCGAAAGCACAATTGGAATTGCAGCTAGCAAGGGATGTGAAGGATAACAAGAAAGGTTTCTACAAGCATATTAGCAATAAGAGGGTGATGAGAGTGGGGCCCTTACTGGATGAGGGAAGTAACCTAGTGATAAATGATGTGGGAAAAGCTGAAGTACTCAATGCTTTCTTTGCCTCTGTCTTCACAGACAAGGTCAGCTCCCAGACAAATGCACTAGGCAACGCAATATGGGAAAGAGGTGGACAGCCCTTGGTGGAGAAACAAGAAGTTAGGAATTGTCTAGAAAAGCTAAACATACACAAATCCATGGACCTGGATTTAATGCATCCGAGGGTACTGAGGGAGTTGGCAAATGTCATTGAGGAGCCTTTGACCATTATCTTTGAAAACTTGTGGCGATCAGGAGAGATCCCGGATGATTGAAAAGAGGCAAATGTAATGATTATCATTAAAAAAGGGAAGAAGAACAATTCAGGGAACTACAGACCCGTCAGCCTTACTTCAGTCCCTGGAAAAATCATGGAGGGGATCCTCAAGGAATCTATTCTGAAGCACTTGGAAGAGGGGAAAGTGATCAGGAATAGTCAACATGGTTTCACGAAGGGCAAGTCTTGCCTGACCAATCTGATTAGCTTCTCCACAACTGGCTCTGTGGATATGGGAAAGTCAGTGCATGTGATCTACCTTGACTTTAGCAAAGCTTTTGATACGATCTCCCACAATATTATTGCCAGCAAGTTAAGGGAATATGGATTGGATAAATGGACTGTAAGATTGATAGAAACCTGGCTAGACTGTTGAGCACAACGGGTATTGATCAATGACTTGATGTCAGGTTGGTGGTTAGTTTCTAGCCGTGCACCCCAAAGAACTGTTCTAGAACTGGTTATGTTCAACATCTTTATTAATGACCTGGATGAGGGAATAGATTGCACCCTCAGCAAGTTCACAGATGACACTAAGCTAGGGGGAGAGGTAGATACACTGGAGGGCAGGGATAGGGTCCAGAGTAACCTGGACAGATTAGAGGATTGGGCCAAAATAAATCTGATAAAGTTCACCAAGGACAAGTGTAAAGTCCTGCCTTGGGACGGAAGAATCTCAAGCATTGTTACAGACTGGGGACTGAATGGCTAAGTAGCAGTTCTGCAGAAAAGGACCTGGGGATTACAGTGGATGAGAAGCTGGATGTGAGTCAACAGTGTGCCCTTGTAGCCAAGAGGGCTAATGGCATATTAGGGTGCATTAGGGGGAGCATTACCAGCAGACCCAGAGAAGTTATTATTCCCCTTTATTTGGCTCTGGTGAGGCCACATCTTGAATATTGTGTCTGGTTCTGGGCCCCCCACTATAGAAAGGATTGGAGAGGATCTAGCAGAGGGCAGTCAAAATGATTAGGGGGCTGGCGCGCATGACCTATGAGGAGAGACTGAGGGATTTTCTTTTGTTTAGTCTGCAGAAGACTGAGGGGGGATTTGATAGCAGCCTTCAGGATGCGATCTAAGTCCTTTTAATAAGGGCAGGTGTGGGTCTCTGTCCCAGAGCAGGAGTTGTTTTCCCTAGCCCTGGCATATGCCTGCTGGAGCTTCTTTTCCTTCATCTTCACCTGTTCTTGGGTGTGGATGAGTCCTTTTGTGGCCAGGCTGTCGGCCATCTGGCCATAGAAAGATCCGGGAGGTTGGTCTCATCACCCCAAACCTCAATAAGGTCTAGAACCATCCACAGTGCGGGAAAAATATGTGTGGGGGGGACGGGGTAGGCTAAAGTTGTTGAGGAAAAAAAACCTGACCCTGAGAGTTATTAAGCAATAAATAAATAAAATCCAGTTTACAAGCAATTCACTCCAAAGTCCTCAGGAAAGAAAAGTCTTGTCCTGGAGTCCAGTTTTAGTAGAACCAAAGAGAGAAACTGCCATTTCCGTCTTCTGAGGAGAAGGGAAGAGGATTTTCTTCTATTCAATTCTATCCACATCAGCTCAGGGAGGAGAAAAAAATAACCCTCCGCCAGCTGATTGCTCCCTTTAGCCTGTGTAGCTTCACATTCTTCCACAGCAGCTCCAGCTCTGAGCTTCAAATATCAAGGGGCTGGTGAGGAAATGAGGAGCTCCTATCTTGGGATATCCACTTCCTTGAGAACAAGAGGCTGAATGTTCATTAGTGCTCTGGGGAAAATGAGAATTAATTGTGGCTACATCTACACTGCAGTGTTCTTGCATAAAAACAGGCGGAGTGTCCACACTACAAGTGTGTTTTTGTGCAAGAAACAAATACAGTAAATTGTAAGAACACAGGGCTTTTTGCACAAGAGAAGATATCTTCTGCAAAAAAGTTCTTGCACAAGAAGCCTGCAGTGTAGACATAGCCCCCGTATTAATTGGGTGGGTTGGGAATTTCTGTGCCTTGTTTTCTGATTCCTCAGGCTGGAAACCTGCTTTCTCACTTTCAAATGGTCCATGAGGCTGGAAGGACCAAAAAAAGAGGGAAACTTCCAGCTGGGAATGAAATATGTAAAGTTGGGATTTCTCTATTGCTGGATTTGGTAAGAAGCCAGCAAACTCCTAAGTGATGGTCTGTTTCTTCTCTATCCAGACAGGGTGATCCCCTCCCATAGAGTGCCAGTGCTAGCCAGGGAAGGAAAACACCTAGAGGGAGAAAGCAGAAAGGCTGGGGCTGTGTGGGAGGCAGGACTAGGATTGAAAGAAGAGAAAAAATGCAATCAAGAAGGATGGGGAGCTCTTTCTGTCTGCTTTTGACAATCCCAGAGGGGCAACTCGGTCAGCCTAGGGCCTTTCCCCACCAGACAAAGAGAGGCTGAGTCCAGCAGCTTTCTGCCCCAGGGTGACTGGCTTTTGGGGAGAGCAAGTAGGAAGAGGGAGGGGCCACTGGAAGCCCTTAGCCCCCTGGCTGGCTCTGCCTGTAAAAAGAGAAATAAGCTACCCTGCACCAGGGAATGTGGCATCAATCCCACTGCCTTACACAGGCAAAGCAAGTGCTCTGCCACTTGAGCTAATTCCCATACCTGTGACCAGCTTGCCTGCCTCTCCCCCCCCACACAATGTGTTCCAGAGCCCTTCAGCTGCCCAAGGCTCCTTTCTGAAAGGGCCAAATGGGAGACTGATGCCTGGGCACCAGCTAGCTCAGCTGGGCCAAGTGTGGTGTGTATAGTACCAAGATTACAGGTTCAAGCCCTTTACTGAACAGGTAGGATAGAGTCTGTCTTCTTTTAGTTGCCTGCTATGGACAGGGAAGCAGAAATAAGCAAAAGCCTGAGGACTTTGCAGAAAATAGGCCAGACATCTGGTAGGAGGAGCCTCCACCATGCGTGTAGGGCCAGCCTGTTGGAAGGAGGCTCTGGCCACCTTCTTTCCTCCCCTCTCTCAGCTTCCTCTTTTGCCAGAAGGGTGAAGCTGAAAGGGACTTGAACCCTGGACCCAGCTTGCTTAGCTGCCTTCCCCAGTGGTAGAAGAAGAAACTTTTGAGGGGGCTCTCATCTTGTCCCAATGCACTGACCTGAGGTCCTGAATTCTTGCTGACCCCTGCTATCCATCCAGGTGCCCCTTGTGATGTAGTGGGGGTACTTGCTGGGCTGTGGTGACCTCTGCTGTCTGGAGCAAGACCCAGCAGGGAAAACCTTATTATGCAAAGGTACCATACCAGTTGAACCAGCCTACCCCCCCATGGGGAGAAACAAAGGGAGGTGGAATGCTGCCCTGGCTGGGGGCAGGGCTGGGAGAGGTAGAGTTAGTTCCTGTCTGGAAAGCAGGGGAGAAGGAGCTGGGGAGGGGGGCTGGGACTCCCCCATCTCAAGGGGGGGCACTGAGGCCTCTTAGCCCCAGTTCCTGTAACCAGATTACATCTGTGCTATGCTGTATCCTGGAGGAGCAATAAACCACCCTCAATTCCACTGGCTGGTGGAGTCTGTTTGTGCCATTTCGGGGTGCAGGAGATGGGGGACCCCCAATGCGCCATCACACCCCTGTGGTGCAGTCTCTCTGGCACACACTGCTCCTCTCACACTCCAGAACAGAGCAGCCTCCAGAGGTACGGCTGAGCCATAAGTCACTGAGCAAAGGGCTGCAAGAGCTGAGAGTTTGCCTGACATCTCAGGGACCCAGCATGAAGCATCATCCCAGGCATCTCTGACAGGAGAAGGGGATTGATGGGGGATGGGAAGCATGTGAAGAGTGTCTGGGGTTGTGTAGCTTGTTGCCCTGGTTAGGGGTGTGGCAGAAAAACAAAAACAAAAAAACATAGGCCTTGTTATGAGCAGGATTTGAACCTGCATAGGGAAATCCTATTGAATTTCTAGTCCCACCCCCTGCCTAACCACTCAGCCATGAGCACAATCATGAGCAAAAGAAATGTATCTCCTTCTTAATGGAGAGGTAGCTGGATTCACCCTCATCTTCTCCTATCTGCTCTCTGGTGCAGAGGAGCTGCCCCTCCCTGCTGCCCCAATTTTTATCCCTGCACGACACATTGAGCAGGGGGCCATTGGTCTTTCTGCCACACCATGTGCCTAGGATGCAGGTCTGAGAAATTTCCCCAAGTAGATACCGACCCTGCCTCACTGACGCTATTCTGCTTGAGACCCCGGAGCCCTCCCTTCAGCTGACTGGTGCCTGGCACATGGGGAATTAGGGGAGGGGAATTGGATCTAGGGGGAGATTTCTAGAGTCCCACAACAGCTGCTGCTAGTGTGCGGATGTGCACATCTGTCTGGGGTTACTGGGCACCCAGCCTGCTTTGGCAAGTCAGCAAAGATGTCCTGTGCCCAGAACCTGATGGCTCCCAGGCTGTATGGGGCAGCAGGCAGGGCTGGCCTTAGGGAAAGCTGTGCCCTGGGTGAACTTGTGTTTTGGGGCCTCTGGCCCCCACAAAATGGTTCACCCT